AGGGCGGGTGCCACTACTGAGAAGGCCCTCTGCCTAGTGGACCCGCTCCCAGTAGACAAATTTTATGATATTTGGAATTCAGTTGCATAAGTACCATAGTAAGTTAATATCTGGTTAACTACAATAACAATTCCCCCTCTTTTTTTAGTAATGTACACAATATCTTTTTTATTGTTGTTGTGTTTTGTTTTCTACATGGGTACTGTTCCTTGTTTCTTCTTCTTTTTGTGTGTGTCTTATCTTACTCTGTGCACTTGTACTTCTGTACCTTTATTTTTCAATAAAGAATAAAAAATTAAAATATTTACACAAATTTCTGTAGATATCTGAAGGCAGCCCTTTAATTGGGAGATTTTAATATCTGATATTTCCTTGTGTTACTTTATATTCTGTTGGAAGCTGTCCAGAGTGATGCAAATAATAAATTATTATTATTATTATTATTATTATGTACAGGGGGCGCTGCTTCACCAACATCAGCCAGTTCTTAGCCAGCCATTCTTACTTAACAATCAACCCAGGAGGTGGCAGCACTACCCATCTGCCTGCTCTTCCTTAGTCACAGGGCTCATCCACACTTCACCTTTTGCCCCATGTTTTCTAGACACAGGTCTGTGCTTTGAAGCTCCGTGTCCAAGTGCTTTCCCTTTTTTCATAGAATCCTAGAATTGTAGAGTTGGAAGGGGTCATGAGGGTCATCTAGTCCAACCCCCTGCAATGCAGGGAATATTTTTGCCCAACGTAGGGTTTGAACCCATAACCCTGAGATTAAGAGTCTCATGCTCTACCAGGGCTTCCTCCCCCCCCCCCCCATTTTGTCCCGCTGCTTTCCACAGGAAACCCACCCACTCTTTATTTTTTATTTTATTTATTATTAATAATTTATTTACAACATAATCCATAACAGCTCATACATACATACATACAAACAAACAAACCCACCACCATTGACAATTTAGTTATCAGAATTAAATTCCTATCCCCTTACATAAAGAAAACATAACATAAAAATAAAATATTTCCTTTATCCTGTAAATGGCCTCCTTAATTACTTCTTGTATACTGTTTCTTTTATATGTGATTATTACAATTTTTCCTAGTTATGACTTAAAAAACCGCAGTCTCCTGTAGAAATTAATCGAAACAAGTCCAGGTATATATTTTGGGGCATTGTTTGCTAAAGTATTCTCTGCATTTCCCCCATTCTTTTTGAAATTCTTGTCTGGGTTATCCCCTAATTGTCTCTGTTAATCTGGCCAGTTCAGTATAATCTAATAATTTATCCTGCCATTCCGTTTTTGTTGGCACAAGTTCTTTTTTCCAATTTCTGGCAATTAAGATCCTCACCGCACCTGTGGCATAAAGGAATATTTTCCAATCTTCTTTTGCTATACCTGTGTCTGTTATTCCTAATAGGAAAGCTTCTGTATTTTTCACAAAGTTATATTTGAGCATTTTTTAAAATTCATCATATACTATGATGCGGTAAAGCAGAAGGGACACTTCTACATATCTGGTGGACTTGTGAAAAAATCAAAAGCTTCTGGTATATAGTATAGTGTAGGAGGAAAGCCACTCTTTAACGCTGACTTGGAACAAACGGCAATTCGGATTTTTACGCAGATAGCCGTTTGCTCTGATTCAGTGGTAAAAAACGGTTTTTCACATGGAAAGCACCGGGCCAAGAAAAGGAAGGGAAGAAAGGCACTTGGACACAGAACTTTAAAGCAAGCATCCCCAAACTTGGCCCTGTATACGTTTTGGGACTACAATTCCCATCATCCCTGACCACTGGTCAAGTTAGCTAGGAATAATGGAGGTTGTTGAGATGGTTGGATAGTGTTCTCAAAGCTACCAGCATGAGTCTGACCAAACTGCGGGAGGCAGTGGAGGACAGGAGTGCCTGGCATGCTCTGGTCCGTGGGGTCATGAAGAGTCGGACACGACTGAATGACTAAACAACAACAAGTCCCAAAACATGGAGGGTCGAGTTTGGGGGTTCCTGCTTTAATGCATGGATGACCTGTGCCTAGAAACATGGCACAAAAGGAAGTCTGGATCAGCCTTCAATGTTGTCCTTGTTGTCCATCAGGAAGAAGGAAGAGGGAAAACTGGGAAAACTAGACTGAGTTGGCTACGGCTTTATGGGCTCTAGCTCCACCTACTGTTGGACTCCCTGTCTTCCTCCCTACCAGCCACCACAGATCATAACAACTTTGCTTTGCTTTCCTGTAGGGAACAAGGGACTCCCTGGTCCCCGTGGACAGCCAGGACCCCCAGGAATAGCTGGGCTTCCAGGCAGAGAGAAAGGACCTCCTGGAGACTCAGGTCTCCCTGGAACATCTGGTTCTCCTGGCTTCCCAGGACAGAAGGGAGCCTCTGGCATCCTAGGTTTTCCAGGAATGCCTGGAGGAAATGTAAGTATGCCTGTTTCTGGGGACTTATGTTGGATTCCTTTTGACTGCTTTAAAGCACATTCAAAGCAAATTCTTTCCCTCAGAGAGTTCTGGGAAGTATGGCTTGTTAAGGCTTGCTGGAGATTGTAACTCTGTGATGGGGTGAACTACAGTGCCCAGAATTATTTGAGGGAAAGAATGTGTTTTGAGTGTGCTTTAAAGTTACAGCAGAGTACTACTGTCCTGCTCTGAATGGAAGCAGGTCATGTACATCATTTCACCATGTAAACATTAGGTCTGGCTTTTGTGGATGCCTACAGGCTTCCACTGTTTTGTGGGAGGGGTTAAAGTGCATACTGGAAATTTAGGTTTGTGCAGTTAAACTGGATTAAAGTGCTCTGTCACCTGGGCACAACAAATCCACTCTAAAAAGCACACAGGGACTCTTTTTACTTAGCAAAGAGATGGGGAAATGCCCTGAAAAGCATGGGATGAACGAATAATTAGCAGGAAGACGTATAAACAGAACAAATGCTCAATAAAAACTGTGTGGGATAAATTGCAGTACAGTGGTACCTTGGTTCTCGAACAGCTTAGTTGTCAAACAAATCAGCTCCCAATCCCGGAAGTAAGTGTTCAGATTTGCGAATGTTTTTTGGAAGCCGAACCTCCATTAATGCATGAAGGGGTTAGGATCACAGAGTAAGCTGTTGGTGCTAGAGTTGACTAAGTCATGCCCCCTCACCTCTGGTAAAGAAGGGAGTGAAGCTTCTTTGCTCACTCTCAGTCTACCATGTGAAAATCGCAAGGATTGGAGGTCTGGACCTGAGGCTCCAGGCACAGACCACATGTTTAGAAAAGTTTTCTACTGTATTTTGTAACAAGATTTCTGCCTGAGTTTTTCCTGCTGCTGTATGGAAAGGCACATGAATCTGACCTTTGATGCGTTTGTAAACTTACTAAACTGTGTGGTCTGTTCACTGCAAGGGGGTAGAAAGGGAAGCACTTTAAACAACTCAGGACAATATATTTAAAAGGTTTAAGCAGCCTAATTTCCCACACTTTATTGCTGCATGTTTTGTGACTTTTTAAAAACCACTTTTACTGAAAACTCTTGTTGCCCTGCATTTCGGATTTAGGGATCCAGTGAATTCTTTTAACCAAATACATTTGTATCATAATCCTGACAAAACAGACATAGTCTAACCTCCTCATACGCTTTGAGCAAACACATAAAGATGAATACTCAGTGAGGTTGTCTGGAGGAGTCCTCTGTCTTTCTGAACCCTGAACACGGACTTGGATGTGGGCTGGACCTTTCACAAGGACCAGTTCCATGTGGACATCACCAGGGAATGACTGTCAGAAGCTGTGCATAGCAATGGGCGCTGCTGTTTCGTAGTGGTGAACATTGTGAGGCCATACATTTCTCTCTGCCCTGCTGATGTAATTTTATCTAGAATACCTTTTACTAGCTTTAATGTTAATGTATCCTGCTCTGGAATATGTTATTCTGTGAAAGGTGAATTATAAATAAAGTGATTTCCTTCACCAGGGTGATGAGGGTTTGATGGGGCCATCTGGATTCCCAGGGAATACGGGATTGCGTGGTTCAAAGGGTAAGTCACTGGTGTGATATTTTCAGGTACCATTTCCAACGGGGAAACTACAAAGGGGCCACAGCAGGAGATAGTGCTAATGGGGAACGTAAAGTTGTGTATTGTGTGCATTGGTGGAGATGTGCTAGAATGGGACGAGTAGTTAAGTATTGTATGATTTATGTAGATGTATACATTTGAGTATACATCAAATGAGGGACGCGGGTGGCGCTGTAGGTTAAACCACAGAGCCTAGGACTTGCCGGTCAGAAGGTCGGCGGTTCGAATCCCGTTGCTCGGTCCCTGCTCCTGCCAACCTAGCAGTTTGAAAGCATGCAGTGTAAGTAGATAAATAGGTACCACTCCGGCAGGAAGGTAAACGGCATTTCTGTGCGCTGCTCTGGTTCACCAGAAGCAGCTTGGTCATGCTGGCCACATGACCCAGAAGCTGTACGCCACTCCCTTGGCCAATAAAGCAGATGAGTGCCGCAACCCCAGAGTCAGTCACGACTGGACCTAATGGTCAGGGGTCCCTTTACCTTTACCTTATACATTTGAGTAATCAGAATTTGAGTGTGATGAACAGGTGTTAGTGGTTGGGGGGGAAGTATTGTATATTGTGAGTCAGGATGTGCCTTGGTAAGAGGGAGGCTGAGGAAAGGAGGGAGCCCTTGATCCTGAAGACATTTTGCAAAATGTGCTGCTATCTTTTTGGTTTTTGCAGGATCTTATTTTTTTATTGTAGTCTTTTACAGATAACTCACAAGTTAATGTGCGTTTAACTTATGCACATTCAGCTTTATACTCGTGGCAAAAAGATTTTTTTTAAAGAAAATTGAAAAGGGACAAAAAGCAGACAGGCATCTAGGGGGAGAAAACTCTGGCACCCCACCCACCACTGCACCCAGGATGTTTTGACTACATGTGATTTTAGCTTTATGCGCTATGCCTGGAACATAACCCCTGGATAAGTGTTGTATAATATGTAGTTCTTCAGTATTATTGTTTTGTGTGTGTGTGTGTGTGTGTGTGTGGGCGCGCGCCCACACACACACACACACACACACACACATGTATGTGCACTAGAGAAAGAGAGAGAAGGAATTGGTAATTTTGTAAACTGCTTGAAAGTGTACATATGTTAAGTGTTATAAATATATGTTAAATAAATGAAAGTAATTTTGTTTTTTTAACCATCTTTGGTGCTCCTAGTAACAGGCAGCATTTAAAGCGAAAGAAATGTCATTGCTCTGCTCTCATAACACTTGAACCATTGGCCGCTTAATGAAATTGATTGGCAGGTTCAAGACTAGGAACACACCACATAATTAATTTACGTGGTTCAATGCCACTCTGCTGTAGGACTCACCAATAGCTTGTGATATATGGACTGCTGCCTCGTGTGGTGAGCCACTGAACAGCAAAGTGACAGCTTCTCCAGGATGTGACTTCATGAACTGAAACTGACCCCCAACCATTAAGTCCAGCCATTGGATCCTCTCTGACAGGAGGGAGTATATGAGGGTTTCCTGTTCCAGTTGAGCTTTGTTCAAGTGAAATGGCCTTCCTAAGCTCTGGTGTGCTTCTCTATCCTTGGTGGTGCATCATTTCTAACTCTCTGAGAGTTGCAGCTTACATGGGAACCTCTGGAGACATAATAGTGGTGGTGGTTGTTCCCTTCTTCCAGGTGACCGAGGAGAATCATTTGGAATCCCAGGTGGTGTAGGACCTAAAGGAGAACAAGGGGACCCTGGACTTCCAGGTATACAACTGATGGTGATCTTTGAAAGGTTTCTGAAAGGAAAAGCTTCTGATTAAGCTTCTGATTGATTAAGACTTTATACTCCTTTAGTTTTAAGATAAAAGTAGGTAGTCGCATTATTCGCAGTTTTTCAGATTGCCACTGTCAGGATAGGGCTATATTGGACATTCTCTATCTGCTACCACAAGGGCTCTTGCACTAGCTGACATGTGGGTGTTAATTCTGCACAACAGAGGAATCCAACACAACAGTTGCAATCACAGATATTTGTTGCATAATAGATTACACAATCTATTTCACAACAAAGTTACTAGCAGCCTAATAATGCATTCTCAGGTGCAACAACACTCCACTAGTGCGAAATATATCTCCAATGGAACAATTATATACGCTAAGTGACTTTAACTTAGCACTGCTGACCTGTCTCTGATGGCACACACCATGTGTTTTGGATGTAGATACATGCTTGGGGAGGGGCAGAGCTCAGTGATGTATTTTGCATGTGAAACATCCCAGGCTGAGTCCCTGGCAATTCCAGCTTAAAATTTAGTGAGTTGGGAAAGATGCAGGATGATTGGTGGTGGGCCAGTGGCCAAATGGACCAGTGCATCAAATATCTAAAACAGTGACAAGACTTCCTGTGTGATCTTTTGAGGTGCAAGAGGACTTGATGGACCAAGGGGTGAGCCAGGATTCCCAGGAAGCGTTGGGATAAAAGGAAGTAAAGGTGCACCGGGGGACTTTGGCCAAGATGGACCACCAGGTATCTATGCTCTTTTGCGGGTAGTTAACCAGACAGGCCATGTTTCCTGTGAGATGAATATTCAGTTCAACAAATGCATGGGAACGCTGCCTTCTTTTCCTCCCCTCCAAGACTTTATATTAACAAGTGGGGTTTAGTGGTTGCAACAGGGGTTGCCACCCTTAGCACCCACAAGGCCTCTGAGTGCCTTGGTCATGAGAATGGTGAGAGTGGTTACTTTTTACATCCTTACATACTATAGAGCTGAAGGAGGAAGTTGGAAGTGTGACCTCACTAGATGACCCTGGGATAGGCACTTCCATCCACTGAGTTTTGCTGAAAGTAGACCCACTGAAATTAATGAACCCAACTTAGTCATTTCCATTAATTTTAATGGTCTGAGTATGGCTAAAGGTAAAGGTAAAGGTACCCCTGCCTGTACAGGCCAGTCTTGACAGACTCTAGGGTTGTGCGCTCATCTCACTCTAGAGCCAGCGCTGTCTGCAGACACTTCCGGGTCACGTGGCCAGCGTGACGAAGCTGCTCTGGCGAACTGGCACCAGAGCAGCACATGGAACACCGTTTACCTTCCCGCTATAAAGCGGTACCTATTTATCTACAGTGGTGCCTCGCAAGACAAAATTAATCCGTTCTGCGAGTGTCTTCGTCTAGTGGTTTTTTCGTCTTGCGAAGCAACCATATTAGCGGATTAGCGCTATTAGCGGTTTAGCGGCTATTAAAAGCTTATCGACTTAGTGGATTAGCTGCTAAAAGGCTATTATCGGCTTAGCGGCTTAGAAAAAGGGGGGGGAGCGAAAAAAAATCTCAAGACTCGCAAGACATTTTCGTCTTGCGAAGCAAGCCCATAGGGAAATTCGTCCTGCGAAGCAACTCAAAAACGGAAAACCCTTTCGTCTAGCGGGTTTTCCATCTTGCGAGGCATTCGTCTTGCGGGGCACCACTGTACTTGCACTTAAGGGTGCTTTCGAACTGCTAGGTGGGCAGGAGCTGGGACCGAACGGCGGGAGCTCATCCCGCCACGGGGATTCGAACCGCCGACCATGCGATCGGCAAATCCTAGGCGCTGAGGTTTTACCCACAGTGCCACCCACGTCCCTCTGAGTATGGCTAATGTTGGATAAACCCAGTGTTGACAATGCTCAGCTAGACTGACCAATGGTCTATTGGTAGGAAGCAATTTCCTACATTCCTGCAGCCTTCCTCCTGCACTTGTTTTCTTGAAAATTCACCTGAGCTCAATGTACACATGCTCACAGCTTCGGAGAGTCCAAACTTTGCTGCGTAGGTATATGGATTACAGTAACTGTCTGCTGTTGTGCTGTTGAAGCTTTTTCCTGCTATTGTTGGGGGGTTGATTTGTGTATTTTTCATGAATTGCCTGGGTTTTATTTTTATGTTTCATTTTGCTTTTATGTGTGCTTATGCTCTAAGGGTTACTTGGGTTCTTTTTGCACAGCAAGAGATCTCACAAGTTAAATAGATAATAATAATGTGTCATGCATTTTAAGGCTGTGTCTTAATCTGTTGATTCTTCCTCTCCCCCTGCCCACGTCCCAGGTTTCCCTGGAGTTGGGATTTCAAGGGGCAACCCAGGTTTTCCAGGCATTCCTGGGCAGCGTGGCCCTCCAGGACTTACAGGGCTTCCTGGCATTGCGGGGCTAAAAGGTATGGCTTTATTTTCTTAAATTACCCAAAATGTTGGTAGGGAGGCAGATCTGGAAAGACAAAGGTTGACATGAACCATTAATCACCCTGAGAGCAGACTGACTGAAGTCAACAGGCTTCAATCCATTGTTCATTTCAACGAGTCCAGTATCAGGGACATTTCGGAAGGGAGGCATGTGCAGGGAATTTCCCACCAAGCCAGTAACAGTCAATAGCTAACTGTGGAGTCAGGGCACCATCATTGGTACTGTGCAAGCATGTGGTGACTAGCTTGACCTCCCTCTGACTAAGTCACTGCTTCATACTAAGGTGGAGGGGAGTGAGGTTGCCATGGTGCAAATGCTCTGGCAGGGGCACCAGATAGGTTCTGCTAGGACATTTGCACTATGCTGACCTCTCCAGAGCCTTGCCCCTCTCTATCCTACTTTACAGCACCAGCTCAGCTGGAGGGAGGAGGGTGAACAGCCCCACCCCATTATGCTATCTTTGCTGCTGCTATGATGGTGAGTCAGTACAGAGCCTTTTCGGCAGTGGCCTCAAGATAAAGGAATAGGGTAGGACAGTTCTACTTCCTCTCTCTGGGTTTTTAGACTTCATTTGTTGAATTAAATTTATACAGCTGGCCATCAATGTATCAAATAATATTTCCTGGTGGCTTATAGGCATAACAGTATTAAAAAAACATACAGTATATAATAATTAAAATCAACATTAAACTGTGAAACTTTTTGTAAACTGTTTGAGGTTTGTTTGTTTGTTACAATCAAATGGTACATAATTTTTATGACTTAATATAAATAAATAAAATTAAAGATGGGGGGAACCTTTCTTGATCATGATACTATCAGGGCAGACATATTATGTCCCACTTTCAGTAGTATTTACACCTGCAAATATTTTGCTGCGGACACACTGCTTTATTTCTAGTCAGTATATATCCTGTAACTTACTGCTAAAATCCTGTGACTTTTTATACCACAAATGTTCTGGCTTATTTTCCTGCTTTTGTTGCTCTGTAGCTGTGGTTCTCACACTTTTTTTCTCTGAGCCACACTTTCAGAAAAAAAAATTGCTTGCAGCATACCAATTTTTTTTATTGTTAAAAAATACACTGGGAAACAAAAAGAAACACAGAACACAACTACAGTGGTGCCTCGCAAGACGAAATTAATTCGTTCCGCAAGTTTTTTCTTCTTGCGAGTTTTTCGTCTTGCGATGCACGGTTTCCCATAGGAATGCATTGAAAATCAATTAATGCGTTCCTAGGGAAACCGACTTCAGACCAGGTCCGGGGACAGTCTGTCCCCGACCTCTTCTGAAGGCTGGGGGACAAGGGCTTTTTTCCACCCCCAGCATTTTAAAACCCCGGGACAGCGGAGGGCTTCTCCGCTGTCCGGGGCGATCTTAAAATGCTGGCGGGCGGCATTTTAAAATTGCCCCGGGACCGCGGAGGACTTCTCCGCTGTCCGGGGCAATTTAAAAGCCCCTGGGAAGGCAGGCAGGGGGACAAAGACTTTGCCCCCGCCAGCCTTCAGAAGAGGTCCTGGACCTCTTCTGAAGGCTGGCGGGGGCGAAAGTCCTTGTCCCCCCCACCTGCCTTCAAAAGCTGTCCAGCCAAGGCTCGCGGACCTCTCCGCAAGCAGCGGCAGCACTGCCGCTGCTTGCGGAGAGTTGCCGGCATGCCGGAGCCTGCGCGCGCTGAGATCAGCGCGCCCAGGCTTCGCGGACCTCTCCGCGAGCAGCGGCAGCGCTGCCGCTGCTCGCGGAGAGTTGCCGGCATGCCGGCCTGCGCGCGCTGAGATCAGCGCGCCCAGGCTTCGCGGACCTCTCCGCGAGCAGCGGCAGCGCTGCCGCTGCTCGCGGAGAGCTGCCGGCATGCCGGAG